TTTATTACAAATAAGTAATAAGCGTGTGGAAATTCAAAAATAATTGAGTGGAGTTAATTGAGTAGCGTATATAAGGGGATGGTCTAGTACTCTAGTAGACTGTAGACCACCTCAAAATTACAGTAAATAGTAAATTATTTAAATAATGACATGTTATTAGGTACGTAAAAACCTAAATAAAGTACTTTTCCTAGGTTTCATAAATTTAAATAATGTTAATTCTACCAACGTTAACGCCAACGACCATACCACGTTGAATACACCAGTTCTCGTCCGATCACTGAAGTTAAGCAACGTCGGGCGTAGTTAGTACTTGGATGGGTGACCGCTTGGGAACACTACGTGCCGTTGGCATTTTTTGTATTTTTTAATTATGTTTTTTGTGTTTCATCTCAATACACTACGCCAGATTTTTGCAATCAGTGCACTGATAAGAACCATAATACACTAGAAACTCGATTAACCGTCTAATGTCGGGACCGGGACCGGGACAATGACGGTTAATCGAATAGACAGTCAACAAAAATACAATAATACAAAACAATATTTTTCAATAAACGTATATATTTTACTACGTAATTTTCTGATAAAAATAATAAATATAATAACAATAACAATAAATAATAAAATAATAATAAATACTAATAATATGGAATAATATGTAATAAGTTATTTTATTACTAATAACATAAAGAATGCCTTTCTAAAAAATGTTTAACAAAATAATCCGTCATCTTCTTCAGTTTTTTTCTCGAGTTTTTTAAGTGGCCATATATTTCGTATTTTACGAAGAAGTAAGACYTGTGTTGTATTTGCCTCCTCTTGTACCTCAAACCAATCAATGCATTTCGATAACATTTCTTCTACTTTTGCGTGGCAAGTTGATAGTTTTAAGTCAAGCACTGAAATTTCGTCATCGTCTTCAACTTCTTCGTCAACGGTAGTTGAGTACTGAGTAGTGACATTAAAAATATAAAATAATTTGATCGTTATTTAAAATATCAAATACTCCATATCCAGTTTATAACTTTCTAACCAATCCGTTTCTTCTTTCGTTATTAATATTTCACTATCTAGCTATTCAGTCCATTACAAAGTTACCCAATTTCTTCTACACTAACGGTATCAGATTCTTCAGATTCGAACGGTGTTATTTCAAGCCATAGTTTATTCCACAATTTCCACACATTCTTAAGTTTTGATAGTCATATTAGCCAATGCACTGGCGGCATTGAAAAAATAGTTTATTGTATTGATGATTGATATTATAAACTATTTTTATACGCATGATAGYCGCCGCGTTATGTACCGCGACGATGTTATGGTAATTGGGGGACGGGTCAGTTTTCCCGATTTTGATAACAACTGATAACAATGAACCTGATAAGAACAAAAAAAAAGTCTCTTGGCAACCTATAAAAGATTGCACAAATCCCAATTCCGCATCGTTGACCAGCGATTAAATAGAAAATAAAAATCGGGTAAGTAGGTACCGCTGAGCTGTACAGTGTACATTAGGGGGTGGGGTGGACGTGACTAGGGTGCGTTAAATTTGAATGCAACGATAAGAATCATTCAATACGAAAAACGATTCTGAACGTAGATGATTTGTCAGTTCTAGGATATAATATTATATTTATATATTGTCATGTACCTATTCTATTTTGAAACAAATATTTTATTTTTCAATTAGGACGCATTTTGCATAAGGCATGGTTAATCAATTTTTCCAAAAACATCACAATATGTAGTTATCATAATTGACATAATTCATAATACCTTATATTATCATAGATATACATATATCTGGTTTGAGGATAAATCGTTATCGTTACGCGATTTCATAAAAATTTAAAACTCAAACGCTCAAAACATTTTTCCTATAATGACGCTTCAAATTTTCTCTATAGCTACTTGAAGGAAAACTAATGGAAACTTAGTGTTGTATTATTAATCCTTAGTTATGAACACAAAAAAATTTATGATTTTTGAACTACAAAATAATTTGCAAATATTCATGGTTTTGAGGAAGTTATGTCAATATTTGAACTTCAAATGCTAATAAAAAAAACTGTGCATATGTATTCTTATAATTTTTTAATCACTATAAGAATAACTTATTAGAAACTTTGTATTACATTTTCAAGTATTTTGATAGGGCCAAAAAAATTTAATCGACACTTCAAAAAAAAATTTTCAGAAAAATTGAAAATTTCAGTTGTCTATATAAATAGCTTAAAAAAGTCAAAATATTTTGAAAATTAAATCATGTAAAGATAATACCAATCCCAATAACTGGTAAAATGTTCAAGTATCTACGACTTCGACTTTTTAATTATATTAAATGTTTAAAATCGTTTGAGGATAAATCGTTATCGTTACACTATTTCGTAAAAATTTTAAAATCAAACGCACTTAAAATTTTACCTATAATGATGCTTCGAGTTTTCTCTATAGCTTCTTGGAGGAAAACTTATGGAAAACTTAGTGTTGTATTTTTAATCCTTAGTTATAAGCACAGAAAATTTTATGATTTTTCAACCTCAAAATTACTTGCAAATTTTCACGTTTTCGACAGATTTCGTAAGAATTTGAACTATAAAAGCTTATAAAAAAAAAATTGTGACTAACTATTTTTAATTTTTTTAGCTATAATAAGATCGTACAACTCATAAGGAACCTTGTATTAAATTTTCAAGTTTTTTTAGTCATCCAACATTTTTTTACCGACACTTCAAAAATAAATTCTCATAAAAATCGAAAATTTCAGTAGTCTATAAATAACTCAAAAAAATCAAATTAAACTGTATATAGATAACACTAACATAAACATTTGGTGAAAATTTCAAGTATTTACAGTGATTAGTTTTTGAATTACAACCAGATAAAAAAATCGATTTGGTCGAAAACTGGTTTTGCGTAAAAATTCCCGTTTTTCTGTAATTTTTTTTTTGTTTTTCTCGATTTTTTTGAAAACCGTCGGAAAATGTTTACTTTTGACCTCTATAATGCACCAAGGATATTCACTTTTACATYGGAAACCACCCCCAAAGTTTGAAATCGAAGCATTATTTCGATCAATTATTATTAATAATTTAAAATCAATACATTCATCACTACATTCAGAATCTAAAATTTAGTCTTCTATAAAATAAGACCCTGTTTAGTTAGAGCTTTTAATTGGTGAAGTTTGACTTTAATCATTATAAATTTTAACTTAATTTTAATTCATTGATCAATGATATTACTAAATTATTTTAAACTTTAATTAAGATTTAGATTCATGTTGTAAGCAATTTGGCTTTTAAAGTCGACAATGTCGTACTAACAGTAGTTATTATTTTATTATAATATATTACAGTCGCAGACCGCAGTGACTATTTTCACGTCCTACCCCAAACAAAAAAGTAGTTCAATAATTCAATCATAAAGGAGCATGTTATAAAACTAAAATTAAATATTTTAATTTATACGTCATTTCTTATGTAATTATTTGAAGTCTGTATTAAGATATTTCTTTATTTACATACAACAAAACAGCCATTTAGCGATTTAGCCATATAGGTACCTAACATTATTAAAACATTGTACAATGAATATAATATTATCTATTGAGAACTTAGAATTAAAAAATTAAGTTACCGAGTGTTATAAAATTTAAATGTGTGGTATATGTTAAAATAAATTAAATTATATAATTAAGTAATTTTTGTTTTTGAAAAAGTTAACGCATAAATGTATCTGCTCAGCTCAGAATCCCCTGAAAAAATTGTTTAGTGCCAATGTTCCATGCATTATAGTTTAATACAGTATAGTGTATGTATATTGCAAGAATTCGGATTTGTTTATTAAATTAATGTATTATTTAAATATGATGTTAATTAAACACAAAAGAAATTCATAGCACTCTCAATTTTTAGTAAAATAAACTATATAAACTAATTATTTTATTATGATTGCTTCTGACTGTAGYGAAAGAAAATTAATGTGTTTAGTGCTGTATATTATGTATGTTTTTTTGTAAACTGTATGATATAAGATATAGATATATATATTTTTTTTTAGAAACAGTAACAAGGAGGGAATACATTTCCAATTTGTTCAGCACTTGAGTCATTAGAACTCTATATTTTTCAGATATAATAAATCCCTTGAAATACCATCTGCTAAATAAAGTGATGTAGCAGGCAATAATAACCAATGCAAAAAATGCCTTGTATACAAACAAATTTTACAAATTTTATACAATTCTGTGTAATTAATTTAACCAATGAATATATTTGGGTACTATAGTTAAGCTCCTTAAGCTAACTTAAGCAATTATAATATTGAATATGCCGTATTATACCATTAATTTTGTAGTTAGTATATTATTAATAATTAGGTATTAGTTATAATTTATAAGCGGTAGTTGGGTTTTTAAATATTTTAAATTAATAAATAATTTTATAAATAATTAATAATTTTATATTTTTTGATAAGAAATATATTGTGTGATAACAGTGTTGTGATGCCATATTGGAATAATTTGGAATTTTTCCTGCGAAGATCCATTCGTGATTTTGATGATATCTCGCTGTTATCAAAATCGGGAAATTTACCAGCTGTCCCATGAAAAATAACCGCTTATCATCGACCACATCTGTTACGAATGTTACGATTACCAAGTATTAACTTTGTTTTATCTTCTTTGGTAATAATAATAATATGGAAAAAATATTATTGATGTGTCTTTTGTAAATATCTTACTAATTAATAATTAGTTATTTTTTAGGCGAATTTCAATTATTAAAAACAATCGGAACGGGGACACAGCAGTGCCACACCACAAACCTTCCTAGATTGTATAAAGATTTCTCGTATTTTGTCCTTCATTTTGATTTTGTTGTAGTTAGTTGACATTCTTTATCGTGCGCGCCCGGGCTCTGTAATGTTCTGACACCAAATAAAAGTTTAATTTTCCTCCAAAAATTTCAAGCATTTCAATACCGTGACTGACCATGTCTCTGGTCCGGCCGACAACGGTGTTCGTCCTGTTCGCTCTGTTGGCTGTTCATGCTGTTCAAGTGACAGCGAGGATACACACGCTGCCGATACACGTAAGTTACCTGCCTACTTTGTTCTGACGAGTTTAGACTCTTATACATAAAATAATATTCACTAATAATTGTACTAAACGTTGTTATTGTTGCTGTGGCCCTTTCGCTATTGTATCCTGGCAGGATGATGATCGACGGTTCATAGCATTGACCACTTTTGGATTTTTTCGTGGCGGACTGCTTGAAGTAAAAATATTAGACTTTTACTTACCTCCTGAAAGCCTAAACGAAACTGTAAGTAGAAAACACACAATAATTAAAAATTACAAAGTGTACTTGTTTTTCACTAGCTGTGTATATTCGTTCAATTCATTGTTGTGTTCTAAAATGATCTTATGGAGTATCATAATGTTGTGTTTATCTTGTTTCAGCATGGCTTGCTGCTTGAAAAGTCTTTATTTGATGAAGGGAATCCCTACATTGATTCTCAACAAGAAATCTGTCCAATTGAATCTCCTAACCTATTTGATATACGAAAGAATTCTAACCTGGTAGTTTTCAGGTTTAATTTTCCAAAAAAACTGTAAGTCTTCTATTTAAAAATTGTAACTTTTAAGCAATGATACAAACAACCATGTGTTTAGAATTTATTCATTTTTAATAAATTTAATACCTATAAATATTTATTCAAATATTTAATATTGCAAAATATTTATGTCTAGTGTTACCATTAATTGTTCACATACCATGAAGCCATTTTATTTATTTGAAAACATGGACGAATTCAAAAACTACCAGAATAATATTGAAGATGGTATGTACTTTGGATATTAATAATAATATCAAAATCTCTTCTGTCCTAGGCCAGAACATTGCTTACACTTGAATTCACGGTATGGTATTCCCTTCTTCAAATTTGTTATCTGGTGTTCCTCATGTTGGTCATTTATCTCCTTAATAACTATCCTCTCTATTTTTGATAAGTGTTGACTAGGTTTTGTGTGATTTTCAATTATTTTGAATGGTGATAGAAACTATTCTTTCATATTAATTCAATAAATGATTTTAAAAACTAAAAAATAAAAAATAGTATATTAACATATTATTATGTTTGGTCCTTTTCAGATACTAAAACAAGTTACTTTAACAAAACTTTACCAATTTCAAATGGTTCTCAACCTGACAGTTTTAATATAAAAGTAAGAACATAGTCAATAGTCATGCAGTTAAACATTTTAAATGATATTTTATTTTATTTTTGACAAAAGTTTGTTGTTTATGTGAAATCGAGATCAGATGAAGGATTGTATAATTTATATTACCACAACTGCCCAAATTATGCCACGTTGCCAAAGTCTAAACAAAGTTTTACGGTACCTAAATTAGATTATTATATTTGAAAAAATCATTAATATACAAAATGTAAATTGATATTCATAATTTTCCATAGGTCACTATAAGTGAGATTAATGCAGATGGGAATTATTTATCGGCTGGTGACATGCCATTGCCATCTTTGTATTTTTCCATGTCCATTATATATTTTATCACTGGTGTATTGTGGGTTTATTTCTTATACAGAAGCACGTAAGTATAATATATTTCTAATAAGCTGCATCAATACACTATAATGTAATTTAAATATTCTATTGCAGTTATTCTGTTTACAAAATACACTATTTGATGGCTTTATTAGTGTTTCTAAAAGCAGCAACTTTATTTTTCCATGGTTTGAACTTTCATTTCATTCAAGTCAAAGGACAGCACATTGCCACTTGGGCTTTTGTCTACTATGCGATTCATTTGTATGTAGTTATCTTACACAGTTGAGCTTATTTTCATTTGTTTTATGATTAATGTATTTTAATTTAGATTGAAAGGATCAGTTTTATTCATAACCATTGTTCTAATTGGTACTGGCATGACGTTTGTCAAACATGTTTTGTCGGATAAGGACAAGAACATCTTTATGATTGTTATACCCTTACAGGTTTGAAATTGTTTCTCTTATAATTTAGTTCTTATATTTTAAACATATTAATATCCACAGGTATTAGCTAATGTAGCCTATGCTATTATTCAAGAATCCGAAGAAGGGGATATGCAACACAATGCTTGGTTGGATTTGTTTTTACTTGTCGATTTCATGTGTTGCGCTGCTATTTTATTTCCCATTCTTTGGTAATGATGTTGCCATCAATAAACTCATGTATCAGACTTATCAAATTTTATTTTACTTGATAGGTCTATACGACATCTACAAGAAGCATCACAGACGGATGGTAAAGCAGCAATAAATTTACGGAAACTAAAGTTATTTCAACAATTTTATGTTATGTTAGTTTCTTATATTTACTTCACACGCATATTGATATATATGCTTAGAGTGAGTATTGTTATTTATTTGTACCTTATAAGTTATGAGTCTTATTTATAAAATATGGTATGGAAAAAAACGTTTAATACATTTTGATATTTTACAGATGACAGTTCCATTCCATTTGTTATGGCTTAATGAGTTCTCTAGAGAAACTGCAACATTTATTTTCTTTGTAATGACTGGATATAAATTCCGACCGACAATTGCAAATCCTTATTTCCAAGTGGCATCAGATGTTGATGATGATGACACAGACATTGTGTAAGCACTAATCTTACAATGAACTTTTTATTTCCATACAACCATAATAAATATTTTGAAGCATTGATTTTTGTTTTCTCATTGTAACAGTATTAGTCATTTTGGATCTGGGGTTAGCAACCGTTCTAGAAAGAAAGCAAACAATGGTGGGGAAACTGCTGAGGACGAAATTATGTTAGTGGATTCATCGTCGTGATATAATAGATATTGTATTTCTATGATACCAAGACTGATACAATTGATCCATGAACTTTTGCTGTGTCTTCTAGTCTTTCTTTTAAGAGTAGACAAAATTGTTCCATTTGTACAAATTTGTACTAAATTATCGCACAACATTTTACTGTTTGTTTATTTATGTAATAAATATAGGTCAATCACTTTGTTACAATATTGTCTATTGTATAATTTTTGATTGAATTTTTTTGTAATTTATTAGATTTAAGTCCATGTTCCTTAGGCATTGTTGCTATGTATTATATTTTTTATTATGAATACTAACATTGGTAAAATATCAATAATTAATGCAATAGTGAAAAAAAATATAGGAACATTATTTTATTGTATTAAATAGAACTTTTGTTATATTATTAATTAATATGGTGCTTAATCGAATTTAACCTAAACAATAAAATATCTGATTGTTAATAAGATGAATACACAGACATTGGATTTTACAAGTGTATATTATTCAAAACCTTTCGTTTTGATACATTTCTGTAGAAATCAGTGGCGTTCAAAGGAATTTTCAATGGGGGAGGGGGGGGGGGTTCTGAAAATTTACTAGAATACCACAAATCACAATACACAATAAAACCAAATTATTAATTTAAAATGTGTGTTGATAATCGTGGTAGTTACTGGTAACTAATGAGGTTACAACCACTATATTATAATCAGTAAAATCAATTATCAATTATTATTTTTATTTTTATTTATTATATTAATTTAATCACTTTATCAATAACCGTGATATTGTTGGTAAAAAAATATTGATATGATACCCATATGAAATATAAAAAAAAAGCCAATGGGGGCCATTAACCCCATGACCCACCCCTCCCCCCGGAGTACGCCACTGGTAGAAATTGAAAGTAGGTTTGTTTTGTAAGATACACATTTTCAACTTTTCTTTGGTATTTTGATTAACCCACAAAATAAAATAAAGAGTTAAAACAATAATTCTCTTTGCCATCTTAATGACTTTTTTACATTTTGAAATTTATGACCAGTCATAAGACATTATACGTACATGTAAAATCAGTATTATAATTTTAGATTAAAAAAATACCGAAATCTCAATATACATTATTCAATAATTTATTGTATAACATTAGAAAAAAAAAACATAGCTAATTGCTATCAATTTAATTAAATAGTTACATAGTTAAATTAATATTAACATATATTTAGGTTGAAATATTTATTTTGAACTTAGTATCTACTGGTTTTCTTTTAATCTTGGTCAGTTTTTGAGACTAGTGTACTGCTAGAGGCGTACTGTGTTAACTGTTTGGTTATTCGCATTAAATTTGTTTAAAAAATAAAAATAGATCTAATAAAACAAAAATATTGATGAAATTGTCAGTGAACTGGACAACAAAGAAAGGATATTCGATTTGTATTATATTTTTTAGTATCTTACATCTAATAAAAAAATCATTGTGAAGTACTAAAATTATCGATTATTAATTTAGTTCATTGGAATTCAATGTAGAATTTTGTTGTGTACATCAGTTGTTCTCAAACTGTTTTCTGTTGAGTCACAGGGCTCCAAGATAGTAAATTAGGGGCCTCGTTGACATATTATTTGAATTAAATTAAAATAATATTTGATTTATCAAATTCATTATATTATTAATAACTTCCATAGTTAATTTCGTAGTCGAATTTTAAATGCGAGTTGATTGAAGATTATATCGCTTTTATCATTTATGTGGTTTATGATTAGGTACCCTTCATTATATATAAAAAAAAAAAAACAAATAACAAAGTAAATTATCTACGCAGCATTTTCATGAATTATGTAGGTATGTGTGTTATGTCTTTGATGAGCTTTCAAAATGTTTTTGGACTCAGTTGAATTTCATTTGCACTACAAAGGCTCTTTGAACAAAAAAGTTTGAGGACTGTTGCTATGTAGCAGGAAATTATCATAAGCCTCTGAGGTTGATAGGGGGGGGGGTGGAGGCAAAGACCTCCATTTCTATGTCCATGACTCATGTCCTCCTCCTTTAAACAAGTCTTGAATATGCCACTGTTTATATGTAGTAGGGTAGTAAACACTTCCAATATACTATATACAGAGTTCATTATAATTTGAAAATTTAATGATTTAAAAATAGGTACAGAATGTAGAAATAAAAATAATTAAAAAACAAATGTCATCTGATTTCATTCCTAGGTTCAAGAATACCTTTAACACCAAAAATGGAAAAAATTATTTTTACGCGTCAATAATATGTTTACAGCAGTGGTACACAGTGGACAATCAGCAGTCCGTGATATATTGACTTGTCTAAAAAGTTGTCCTTGAAATAATCTCAAGCGGTCAAAGAATTTTGTTGTGTTCATAATAGCCCCATTAATTAAGCACCTATTAATAACGTAAAGTTATTTTTTTTTTAAATATATATTTTAAAGGGAAGAATGGAATTATGTAGTGGACTGTGGTAAGGTAATAGGTAACGAAAAACACATCACACCGTTAATATTATATCATTGCAAGATTTATTTTTAAATGTCCATATTTACAAAAGTTTAACATCGATTTTTTTTATACAAAAACACGGTAAACAATAATTACAAAAAACTATACTTAATTTTGAAATATTAGCTATTTTTTTATCATTATTATATTTAACTGMATAATAAACCTATCCATTCATAAAAGAAAAGTAAAAAAAATAATATATAATATATACAATAAATTCATATCGGAAATCGATAAACAAAAAAAAAGTTATATAAAAATAAGAAAAGTTATTGAAAACAGTCTTTGCATTTAAGTAAAATGGCAGGAATAAATATTTTTTATTTATTAATGATAACACAAAATTACATAATGATTATATAATATTATATATAAAATATATACAGTACAAAATACACATCGTTCTATAGCTGAAGACCGTCGACTCCGATCGTTCCACTCGAGGTACATAGGAAAGGTTGTGTGCCTACTTGTGGTTTTCGAAAGTCTAACGGTTTCTGTAAATTTACCATACAGTCGTTCTGATATATTTTTTACACGATTTATAAAAAATTATTTACACAAATATATATATATATACACGATTAGGTAGTTAAATTAAATGATTCGTCACAATGCATAAATAGTTAGTACATAATATTCTTATGATGTTTATAAAAAAAATAATTTAAACACAATAAAAATCCATAATATGGGTATAGGTACACAATAATAATAATAATAAAATTATATTATAATATGAGATGTGTATGGAACAAAAAGTGAGCAAACTACAGTTTATTTATTTATTTTTACGTTGTTAATATAAAATTTGATTTTGATTTTTAAATATGGCAACGCTCTAGGTACTTACTTCGTTTGACTTCCTCCTATACGGTATAATAAAATATAATATTACATATCCTTGAACCGGCTCAATTCTAAGCTTTTAACACCATCATCTCATACGATATATATATATAAAGCAGTATACTGCACATATACTGCATATATCCGACATATAAATTATATAAAAAAAATTCATAATTATCACAATTTCTTTATATATATAAAAAAAAAACAAACCTTTGATTATATCGCCGTTTCAAGAATATAATATAATATACATCACGTAAATCATAATTAGCCTAATAACTATACACAAATTAATCTATTTTATTACATGGTAAATCGAGGCGCAAAACGCAACGGCCGCCAAAAGGGTGCAATATTCAGCGATAATCACGACGAGATTCCGACGTATTATAGGCAATTGTATAAAATATAATATTATAAGAGGTCGCGAGTAAATAGTTATAATTGGMCTATTATATTATTATATAAATTAATATTATTGTATTTTCGTTTAACTCGTCGCGCCGTGCACSCGCACAAATCGTACCCTTTGGACGGCCGTGGTCGTTTGCACGTCGAATGTCGCTCGTTCGGCCACCACAGAGCCGTATGCGCCATCGTTATTATATCATTATCACAGCCTGAGTTCGGCCTCCGACGACGTCTGATGATGCCTCTGCCGGACCGACGCGGAGGCTGCCGAGTGGAGCGGCGATATGGACGGCGACCGGTTGGCCAGCGGTGACAGTGACGGCGAGAATGAGGGCGACATGGCTACCGACTGACTAAAGCCCGGGTTGGCCTCGTGACTGATCGGCGACCGGGGCACGAGTAGCATGGGCGGCGGCACAGCCTGATGGTGATGGTTGTGGTGATGATGGTGGTGCTGCTGCGAGGCACCCGACTGTCGAGACGACGACAGCGCCCTGGGTGCCATGTTGGTCAACAATGGCGGGGGCGGTGGCGGCGTGCTCTTTAGATGCATGTGCTGCTGCTGTTGGTTAGGAACGTTGGATTTTTTGCCGCCAGAAGCGTTTTTGATGATGCCGCTGCCTCCACTAGTGGACGCGGCACCGCTGTTGGAGCTCTTCACCGAGTTGGCGTCGTCTTTGAGCCGGGCGATCTCGTTGAACACGTGCGCCAGCGGCTGGTACTGCGGGCCCCAGTCCAACAGGTAGTCCCAGTTGTAGCTACCGGTCAGCTCCTCTTCGCTGTGCACGATCGAGCTGAGCGACCCGACCATGGACGGCTGTGGCGGAGGGACTTTCGAGCCCGAGTAAACGGTGCTGTTTGACGACTTTCCACCGCCACCATTGCTGCCACCACCACCGTCTTCGTCGCCCACCACTCCAGTGACAGGGCCACCGCGTTCGCTGCCCACGTCACTGAGTTTGGCGTAAATCATGTTGGTTATATCGCCGTCGGTCGCCTCGTCCTCGTCGTACATGTCGATGTTCTCCATCGGCCTGCGGTGTCGCCTGGACGACGACAGCCGTCGGTTTTCCTCGGGCAGGTGCGGTGTTACCTGTTGCACAACGGTCTGCGCGTCTACAATTCCTAGGCGGGCCAGGTACTCTTGTGTGTTGCGTGCGGCCGTCACTTCGGACAGTTCATCCGCGTTTTGCCTCTCGTTGATCATCCGAATCTCCTCGTCTTCCACGTCATCCTCGGCCGACCCCCGGCCGCTAGAACCAGACTTCTCCGATCCCGACAGGTCCGATGTGGTGGCCGCCCCGGAATTGGTAGTACTGCTGTTGTTTCGGTACGTAGGTATCTCATCATACTTGGGCGGAGCGAACTGGCCGACCACTTGCTGACCACCCACGCCACGTATCGGTATTGTATCGAACGCGCCGGGGTCCACGTATGTGTTGTCGGTCCGCTGGTGTCCGCTCAGCTCGGGTTTGTTGATGTTTCTATGCTGCTTGTTCTTGAGGT